AGGCTGCATATAATATAGATGTCATGTTGCCATCCAGGTATTTATTTCATTTAAAGTCATTTCTGTTAGTTAAAGTTCCCATCGCATGTTGTATTTTCAGTACTTTTCCATACATTAGTAAATTGTTGATTAGGCCATCATGAACTTTCAAATTAAATGTTCAAAGTCTGTGGTTTTTCCCATGTGTTTTACCGTACTGAGTCATTTGTGTATGTCTATTTGCTTTAGGCCCGTTATAGGAAGGAGCAGGCTCTGCACAGGACGGTTCCCTGGATCCCCCCGGTGGACAACCTCCTGAAGGACAGCACAGATGGCTGTGCCCTCGCCGCCCTGCTGCACTTCTACTGCCCCGCCATCATCAACCTCGGAGGTACGTCCACCTGCCAAAACACGCAACATTACTGTGCACTAAATAATATGCCATGTTCATGTGTGTGGAAGCTGTTGAAGACCATGGGTAATTCACGTATTCAATTCACATTTAGTTATATAGCGTTTTTCACAATACATATCGTTTCAAAGCAGCTTTACAGAAAATTCATGTGTCTACATTATAATTTAGAGTCATCTATTATCAGAGGTGACTGTGTCCAAGTTATATATTTCAGAAACGCAGTTAGCTAATGTATTAATTTAACTGTGTATTAATTTAAGGCAGAAACGATGGGCTCATTGATGCAATGAATACTTGTTAACAAATGACTTGGATATATACAAAATTATATAATAATATATAAAATTAACCCTATTTACTTTATTATTAAATATACGTAGTCTATTATACACAGTAAGGATGCACCAGATATGCACAATTCAAGTTTAATTGCATATCATAAAATGTAAACAAGGATGGATTATATATTTGTGGAAAAGTTTTTTTTTTTCACAATATTTTTTAAATATTATATGATATACATATTTTTCATACTATTGCATCAGAAAATACAATAATATTGTGTATTATTATATGTTTTATATTAAAAAATAAAAAAAGGAGTATAATATAATAAACTATAATATTATGTTCATTTTTTCTACAATATTATAATTGAAATATAATGCATTATGCAATAATCAAACGTATTGTTTTTATATTATGAAATAAAATATTATAGTATTACTATACATTTATTATTATCATTATAGAATTTTTTTCCTCAAAATGTAAAAAAATATTATATATTTTCAGTTGTTTGAGCCCAGATGCTTTTTTTAACATTTCATAACAAACCATACAAACATTTAAATCTAGAAAAACAGTGTGAAAAATATAAATTTAATAATACTACATGTGTTAATATATATATATATATATATATATATTATTTATAGCATAGAATTATATTATGTTCATATTTTTCACAATATTTTATTTGGATTGCAAATTTTATGTAGCATTTATTCTATTTATATTCTGGTTATTCTTTATTTAGGCGTAATTTACCACTAAATATTTCAGTTTCACTTTAAAATGTCACATTACAAATGTTTTGAATGTTGTTTTTATCATGCTGTTTATCAATTTCAGCCATTTTGCAAATTGCACTGGACTTTGAATTGGTGAATACAATAGTCTACAACTACTCATTTAGAAATCATTTAATCATCAATCGAAGTTACTGTTAATCTAATCACAGTGACAAAGAGGACTAGAACTGTTTCTCCACCCAGCTGTGTCAAATGACGGATGTCATTAGATTGATCTCCAAAGGCTGAATCACATGACTGCCATTTAGACTCCATGATTAATGGGCTTCTCTGTGATTGGTTGAGCCCTTGGTGAATCTGACAAATAGGCCAGATGATCTGTCTCATTGAGTAGTGCCTGGTTAGTGTAGCACTTTGATTTACAGTCTTTGATTTACAGACATTTTCCTGAAGGAAACCATGTCACTGGCAGACAGTCTCTACAACCTTCATCTCATCCAGGACTTCTGCAGGGAGCATTTGAACCACTGCTGCCACTTCAATCTAGAGGACATGCTCTACGCTCATTCCTCCATCAAAGTAAGTCTTCAGAGACAACTTACAGTACGTCCAGATTTGGTTTTAGTTAGGGAGCGTTTTACACCCTGATGCCATAGTAGAACCTTAAATTGGTTGATCTATTACAACTACAGGTCCAGGTTTGTCAAATGTCTTAGGCCGCAACATATGTGATTGGTGGAATGCTGTTATTTTGAGCCTTTTTAGCAATAGCGCAAGTGGGAGTTGGCTTTATTCCTGTTAAAAAGCCAAAAGCCAAACCCTGGTGCATAAACCAGCCTCCCAATGGAAGCAGATTCTCTACAGACTAGTGCTATTGACTGAAAGAGCAACATAATCACATTAAAAAATAACCAGCAGATATTTATATTTAGGAAGATGCAGTGATCTCAGTTGCACATAAGTTAGTTATAAACGCTCGTCTTCATGACAAATTGATTCAAGCATACATATCATTAGCAGTAAATAAGCTCTTCTCTAGTGTTTTTATATAGCTAGTTAACAAACTGGGAAGATTTTCTTCACACACAGAATGACACGCATACATTTTTCTGCCCCCTTTTGATTGACAGGATATAATCGGCATTGCTTTAACCGATACCGATTATTGGTGGATCTCTAATTGGAAGAATGGTTTGTTTGATAAGCCATTGTGGCATCTTTGCTAAGCCAAATAAGCCTAGAACATTTGTTTTGCTTGTATAATGTACTTTACTATGCGGTTTTCATCCTCTCTAAGATCTTAAAATATTATTTTTTAAAAAAAAATAGAAAACACTTGTGTTGCAAGCTACATACATCAAACTAGATTAAAAAAAAAAAAAAAATCATTTAGCTGATGCTTTTATCCAAAGCGACTTACAATTGCTATATATGTCAGAGGTCGCACGCCTCTGGATCAACTAGGGGTTAAGTGTCTTGCTGAGGGACACATTGGTGTCTCCACAGTGGATTCGAACCTGAGTCGCTCACACCAAAGGCATGTGTCTTATTCACTTTTTTTTGTACCTTCAGACTACTCTGTCAGATATAAAACAGACTCTCTAAACTTTCTTGATGAGATCAGATGGATGGGGAAAACCAGTTTTTTTTTATCCGAATGTTATGTTGTCATGTCTTTGATCTTGGTCCTCTCTGGTCTGGACTAGACTGGATAGAAAGAACATCTGAATTTCAGTGGTGGATACTGAGAAGCCATTAAAAATGTATGATTTTTCTGCCGGTAGTGTTGCAATGCTACTGGAATCAACGTCCCACCTGGTTTTTGTTGAAACTGTAGTTCCACAAATGGTAGCAAAATATCACACTGTGTTGGGTTTTATTTGCACCTAACAGCCTCTGTTTAGAGGACATGATGCCAGACTTCAGAGCTGAATCTCAGAGATGTGAGTGGAATTGAGAGCAAGTCACTGAGCTGTAACCTTGACCCAGTTTCTGTCAGTAATCTAATCCCAGCTGCTTCCTTTTATTTAAATGTTCAGTGCGGTTTGCACGTGTGCTTCATGTAGTGCTCCTGCGGAAGATGCCGGTTTGAATCTGGAATGCATTGTGACCTGATCGCATTCATTTCTTTATCCTCTCAACTGTAGAGTAAAAAGTTGTTATTAGGGATCCACCGATATGAACATTTTGGCCGATACCGATAACCGATAATTCTTTAAATTTGAAAGCCGATAACCGATATATCGGCCGATAAACTTAAATCCAAATTTGTATCTAATTTTGAGAGCTTGATTACAAAAACAAAAGTCTCACAATTAAATCCATGTCCATGTTATAGTGTTGTATAGCCAAAATGACAGATTTGCGCTGCACATGTTGTACCGAACCGTATTTTCAATTTTTTAAGAGATTTCAATCATATTTCAAGAAATTCCAAAAAAATAAACAGTGCTCAACAAGTGTCTCAGCTGAAGGGAATAATACTTCGGCTTTAATATATCGGCCACATTTTCTTACCAGGCCGATAACGATAACATTAAAAATGATACCGATACCGATATGCTGGCCGATATATCGTGCATCCCTAGTTGTTGTTATATATTTCTAATGAAATATTTTAAGTACATCAAAAAAATTATATTATAGTATTAGCATTTTTAATTGATTGACCACTCTAAAGATTTTGTTCCATTCTTTTGCCATTCCGTTATTAAGACATTTTTCAGTCAGAATCCGTCGTCGTTTTTGTTAATTTGCAAGCAATTGACATAAAAAATGATGCCTTGGATTATAAGGTGAATAAATGCTTTAATCATTTGGTTACATGGAATTGATGTGGTTTAGTGCTACTCGAGCCTATAAAGAAAGCAAGGACTCTTTGTTGAAAGTCAATTAAAATGCTGAGGTAATGTCTTCTGGGAGTAGCCTCAGATAATTGCTGCTGTTACCCTGTGCCTTTAAACTGCTAGGTATGATTTCTGCTGAGAGGCATTTTTCATCATGTCAGGTACCCTCGATGAATTCAAGGTCATGAATTCTGTAGTCTTAGTGTAAAGATGTTGGTCATAACACAAAAAGATTGTGTTATTAGACCAAGCGAAAATAATGCTATATATACCATACATTATGTAATTCCTTAACATTCCTCATATATAAGCTATACAATTAAATTTGAAGGAAAAGGACGTTCTTGTCTCCAGGTGGTGTCTGTTCATGAACTAACAGGATTTAGAGAAATGCAGAGACATCTTGTGGAAGAGGAGGAATATTGCATATATTAGTTTTACACAAGCGTATTATTTTAGGGGACACCTTGCAAAGTTCTACTTGTTATTATATATATTGAATTATAAAGCTATTGTTGTTTTTATTTTTTACCAGAATAACTATCTTGTGTTCATGGCTGAGCTCTTCTGGTGGTTTGAGGTTGTTAAGCCGCCATTTGTTGAACCTCAGGCGTTGGACATTGAAGGTAAGCTAATCTTATAACAATCTTATCTTATATCTTATTACATATTTGTATTTGTCATATTACAATACATTTGTATACTGACACATTATAGCTCCAGCCCCTTCACTGAAAAATCTGCCGTCTGTGCCCATCTCAAAAGTCACAAAGCGAAGTTTCATGGAAAGACCTCCTAGTCCAGACAGACCAAGGTATATAAAAAATCTTTAATGGAAAAATTCCCCCTCCTGCTTTTTACTTTGTTTGTAGATATTGAAAATCAAATGTAAAATTACATTGATATTTCTATTTTTTTCCCCCTTTTTTTTCTTATATTTAAGTCTCCCACTCCGACCTCAACCACAGACTTCAGGCTCGGGTAAAGTTCAGAAGTCTAAAAAAGTGTTTTATGTCAAAATATAAGTACTTAATGCACCCAGTGCTTTAGAAGTTATATATGTGTGTTATACAGGTGAGATCAGGCGATCAACATCAATGTCATTTGTGGACAGCTTCATGGGTACTTGGCCCAAGGAGAAAAAGTAAGTGCAATTGCATCTCATTATTGAGACTTTAAGCCATAGAGTGTAAAACTACATGCCATTGGATACTATCCTGTCTTCTTTCTGCAGGTCTGCTGCTCAGGGTGTGTCCTTTGAAATCCCATTTGATAAAGAGCGCACCAATCAAACACCTACTGGCCGAGGAATGACTCGGTCTGCCAGCACTGAAGGTTTTGGTTTCAAGATGCCCCACGGAACAAGGGGCATCAAGAGAAACCTGTCCTTTCAGCCTATCAATGGCAAGAACATGGGCATTGAGGAGGAAGTCTGTCCTGACGGCCAGTCAGGAAATCTTAACAGCCGTCTAAATGGCTCAGGGCCACCTAGCATCGAAGAGGCCCTTGAGATCATCCACAACTCAGAGAAGCAATCACAGAGCCCCAGGGCCCAAGCGGCCGGTGAGGGCTTCTTTCTTCACCTGCAGAGTAAAAGTGAACCGAACCCCAAAGCAAAGGATGGCGAGCTAGACTCGGTTTCAGAATCATTCAAAGGGGTTGCTAGCTCATCCACCACTGAAGTAGACACTGGCATCCATGTGCGGACGGAGGACATCCAAGAGACATTAGATGAGGACTCATCGCTTAGGGATTGTACTGTCAGCATAGAGCTTGACACAGATCAAGACTTTGAGGCAAAAGCTTGCCATAGCCAAGGCTCTACTAGCCCATGTCCCAGCAGCCTTAGCGCCAAATCCCCTGCCGGAAGTATCCCAACCCCTGCTTTTACACCTGGGATTAAGATGACCAGCTTTGCTGAGCAGAAATTCCGTAAACTCAATCCAAACGGGGAGGCCAAAGGTAGTGCTTCCCAAGGCACAACACCAGATGGTTCAGATCTCGGCATTCCTCACTCTGTCTCCTGGGCCCCTTCGCCTGATATCAGCCCTGCACATCAGCCATCCAAGGACCCAGCCCAGACCATGGCTGCAGAAATGGTACAACTGCGCATGAGACTTGAGGAGAAGCGTCGGGCCATTGAAGCCCAGAAGAAGAAAGTGGAGGCGGCCTTTACCCGACACCGTCAAAAGATGGGACGCAGTGCTTTCCTCACAGTTGTCAAGAGGAAAGGAGTAGATGGCACCTCACCATCTCAGGAGAACACTCCCAGCTCAGAGGGAAGTAAGACGCCAACGGAGACACCCCAACCTGACAAGTCTCCGCTGAAGTCTGCGGGTGAGGATGGCACCTGCGAGGCGGACCTGATGGAATATACACGCTCCATTGAGAAGCTCAATTCGTCCCTGAGCTTCTTGCAGACTGAGATGCAGCGACTGGCCCAGCAGCAGGAGGTAATTATGCAGATGCGAGAGCAACAGGCATGGGTTGTGTTACCACCTCAACTTTCGCCACAAAAGCAGGTACGGGAGCTCAGAGGGAGTGGGGCGCGCTCTTCTGGATCTCCCTCACCTGCAGATTCCCCTAGAGCTACACACCGTTCCCCTACAAACCTTAAGAGGAAGTCCGCTTCTTTCCATTCCAAGACGCCAAGGACACCCAGACCCAATGAGCTAAAGATCACTCCCTTCAACCGAGTCTTAAACGTTCCACAGTCAGTGGACAGCATCCCACGCCTCAGAAGGTTCTCCCCTTCTCAGTCCGTGTCCTGCTCGTTTACTTATTTGGGAAGTGAGAAGAAACCACCACCAGGAGCTGAAACCACAGACAAGGACATTGAACAAGGCATTGAGTCATTGTCTATTGAATGTTCTTATGGTACTAACACCTCCCCAACCAAAGAAACCCAACAGGCAGTAACCGAAGACACTGGGGAGAGCAAAAATGAGAACAAACCAACGGAAGAAAGGGAGAATCTGAAGAAGTCAACAGATGAGTTGAAACCAGCAATGGAATCTAGTGTGTCAGAAGTCTTGTCGCAGATTGTTATGGAGACCGTTATTGTCACTCCCACTGAGCCATTTGACATTGCCCATCAGACCAACAAAAATTTGATTGAGGTTCCACTGTCTGTTCTCAAGCCCCTGGATGGACAGGCATTAGAAGAGGAAGGTGAAAATGACACTTCAGGGGAGAATCAGGACGATGAGCAGAAAATGTGCCGTGGATTCTTCTTTAAGGTAGATTTAAATGTCATATGATCCTGTAGATCAAGAAAGCTTGGAAGTTAAATTCTCCCGTACCACCACCACATGTTGTGAATACTTAGTGGTGAACGTCACTTACTATTGCTTACTGTTAGTGATTAGAACCTCTAGACTTTGGTAGGATATGTCCTGGACCATTAAGCAACCACCTACCAAAGGGCTAAAACAATACAGAACACCTTATCAACCAGCTAACAATGCCCTAACAACCATCCAGAAGACTTTAGCATTGTGGTGGCAAGCACTAGTCACATTTTATAAAGAAACTTTAAAAAATCGTGTTGTTTTAGCTGTTTAAGGCCATAGTTAGTACCCGAAATGCCATATAACCATAGCTTTAGTTTGGGAAAATCTTGTGGTGTGACTAATATCTGAAATGTTCTTAGTGTGTACAGTCACAGAAGGAGGTTAGCTTGGGACAGATCACTGGAAAATGCAGCTGTTGGATCTAGGTCAAGAAACGGAGGGAAATAAATCATTTATTTTATGATGATAGCCTTCTGCAGGGAGTCTGAGCAGTGTCGCGTATATCTGGTTCATTCAGACTGGTCATATCAACATCAGTGCACTGCCTTCAGATACTTGGAAAAACCTGAACATAAAAAGATATTAACAGAGATTCTCAATAATGCAGGATGACATGAAAGGAGAGGACAGCATGGCCGTGAAACGAGCCGCACTTCTGGAGAAAAGGCTGAGAAGAGAACGGGAGAGCCAGCAGAGGAAACAACAGCTGGAGTTAGAGCTTGAGCAAAAGAAAGAGGAGGCCAGGTAACAGCCTGCCCATCTGTCAATCGCCAAGACTAAATTTATCCCCCTGATTCTTAAATCAAATATCTGTCTCTTTCCACAGGCTGAAAGCAGAGGAAGACCGCACGAAGAAGGAAGAAGATAAAGCCCGGCGGGAATTTATCAAGCAGGAGTACCTGAGGAGAAAACAGCTTAAGCTTATGGAGGACATGGACACGCTTGTCAAACCACGGCCCGCGGGGGCCAAGCAGAGGAAACCAAGGCCCAAGTCCATCCACAGAGATGTGATGGAGTCCCCCAGGACTCCTGTCAGGGCCACGGCAGGTAAAGGGCGAGCGCCCCCTATTGGCGAAGCCCGGCACTGTATGCTTTGTGCTACTCTCAGCCTTTCCCTGTCCAGCTCACTGCATCCCTATAACACTATAACTACTATACTACTTAACTACTAACTACTTAAGTACTATAACACTTGCTCTAAATATCTATTCTAACCAATTTAATCATTTTCTAACTAATGTAACTAAGTGGTTGAGTGACTTAAGCATTCTTTTAAAATTTTTTTTTTCAAATATATAAACTCATTTTGTTTAGACAGTGGAAGAAGTTGGAGAGGCCATTTAGCAACATCGTTACAGAGAGCTGTACTGTTATGAGGGTAACACAAAGTTTGGCGGGCTTGCTGTGTTCTTGTGTAACTGTGGGACCTGTCCCGTTTTCTGTTGCATCCAGGTTCACGACCTCGTGTTTTTTCAGTGTCCAGCCTGTCTCTGGCATCTCTTGGAGATAATGACAGTGTCAGCTCGGATAAGAAAACACCCAGGTAAGACGTCTTACGGCGCTTTAAGCAGTCAAACGAAAGAGAAAATGTCCTTTATTGCACAATACTAACCCAGTATCCTTTGAATTCTCTGTATTTTTCCTTCGTATTCTTGAATGTTCTCGCTTCTTAGAAGCTATAGCTTAGCATCTGGCAGTCTTTTCTTCTTTTTGAGCTCTCCTCGTGTGAGAAATAGAAGGTCAGTCTTGGTTGGATAAGACTCTTTATGCATTCATCTTCTGTTCAAGAAGAATATCCTGTTTTGCTATGAGCTTGGCAGAAACACAAGGAATGATCCCCAGTCTTTGAACAATAAAGACGGCTATTATAGTTCACCAATCACAGCTTCTTTTTTTGTTTTTGTTTTATTTTGTCATTTTTAAATAAGCATTGGTTTAAGGTCACTAAGCCTCACACTGGCATTGAATGGCACTGAACCCGCAAGAACACTACAATAAAGATCTGCTCTTCACACTTTTGCAAGAGACTTATTTAGAGGCTTCAGTAATGTTTCTAAAAATAATACATGTTCATGGTCTTAGGCCGTGTGTCCACCAAAGCGTTTTTTTCCACGCGCCTGGCGAACGTTTTCAATTGTTTTCAATGGGAGCGCCACGTTTTTTAAACGCCATGAGCGTAACGAGGCTCAGAGCGTTTTTTTTTTCCACGCTGAAGCACCGAGCGCCGGGCTTGAAAAATGTTCAACTTTGGATAAAACACAGCGCTCATCACTGTCAATTCTTACCCAGCCGTCCAATCACAGTGGAGGAGGGGCGGGACTAATACCACACCATTCTTTCAGTACAACGACATCAACCAGCAGAGCTAACCGAACAAAATGGAATGAAAAATAAATTTTTAGTATGAAACAAATTATCTGCGAAATCAGTTACAAGTAAACTGTGCTGCGGATATTCTGTATCATAGCAACGAAATGTCTCAACGGAAAAAACGCTGCGCTGCCAAAACGCTTTCAAGCGCCCAAACACAGCGTCTGGCATTTTCAGCTGACTAAAAACGCTTTGGTGGACACCCAGCCTTAATGTACATTTAATATCCGGTTGCTTTCTGAAATACGTAACCTTAAAATTATTGTATGTTTGTTGTTTCATTTGATGCTTAAATCAATGAAATATAAATAAATACATAAGATAAAAACACAATATTATGATTTAAGAGCTATAATTCAGTCACTAAGACCTCACTCACTGCCTGATTTTGCATGAGATCAGTTGTTGTTAATAGGTGTATCAGTATTGTTCCTATTAAAATTGCAGTTTATCATGTCATCCCAGTAGGCCTGATTCAGCAGACGGTTGCCTGTCACCCACTCGCTCCAGCAGTCGTAACGGAGAGAAAGACTGGGAGAATGGTTCCACCACATCCTCACTGACATCCAACACGGAATATACAGGTTAAAATAAATCTGCAGCTCTACCTCCAGTCCATCAGAGGGAGCTATAGTCTGTATAATAGTTCTGAGCAATACTCTCAACGTCTAAGCTTTTCTAAATGACCAAACATTTGGGCTGCATCTGAAATCGCATACTCTTTTGAGGAGGTACTTACTTTGAACAAGTAATTACTTCACAACCACTAAAAAAAAGTGTGTTCTATATAGTATGAATGTGTGTCGTCTGGACGTACACGTCTGAACATTTGCCATGTTGCCTTTATCAAGTGACTTACCAGCATCAGTTGCGTCACTTCACTGTCATTCACAAATCCTCTCCCGGGGCCTCATGGGATAGTAGTGTCCTGCCGGAAATAGTTGGTTTTTCCCAACTCTTTTATGAGTACTGTAAATTCGGATATACTTTGTCACATACTGTTTTTTGACAGCTATATAGTTGGGAAGTATGCGATTTTCGGATGCATCCACTTACCTTCTGTATAAAACATGCTCAGGACTTCGGGTGATAGCTCCCTCTAGAGGACTGGAGGGTCAACAGCAGACTCGGATGGTACAATAACTTATTATATTGTATTAAACTATGACATTGCATAATGCACCCTCTATATTTTTGCTGCAGGTCCTAAATTATATAAAGAGCCCAGCGCAAAGTCAAATAAGCATATCATTCAGAATGCTTTGGCACATTGCTGTTTGGCTGGCAAAGTCAATGAGGGACAGAAAAACAAGATTTTAGAGGTAAGCATGTCTGGTAATTTTAGAGCCCGACCGATAAAGGATTTTGAAGGCCGATACCGATACAAATATTTTTGGGTTTTAAAATCCGATATTCCGATATATCGGCCGATATTTTTTTTTTATTATTAAATATTGTTGGATTTCACACACGTGTAAAAGAAAAGCTAACTTTTATGCACAAGATACGTTTGATACTTTTTTCTCTATGTCTAAATGTTCACTCTTCGCAAGTCCAACTTACATTTTACAATGCAGGGACTGTAACTAGAGATACGCTAGTTATAAATATAGTAATCATGACTTTATTTAGGCAGAAAAAGTTCATTGTGGTTTCCAAGCTCATTAATGTTAACGTTAGCGGTCTTCCACTGATGATAGTTGCATTAGTTAGCTTTGTGGTTAGCTAGACTATGATGAGCCATAATTTAGCAATGGTCGGATAACGTCATACTGCTAATTGTAAAACATAGATTTTCGATATAACAGGCCAAGGAGAGATGATTGAAGCGTGTTTCGTCCATTTTTATTTTATTTTTTAAATATTCATTTATCTGCCATTAAAACTGCCGATACCGATATTTTGGAAAATGCCTAATATCGGCCGGTCTGGCTCTAGTTAATTTTCACTACATTTATATTATATTTGAAGTTTTATTCATTATATTTGTTTGTTTTCTCAAGGAAATGGAGAAATCCGGGGCCAACAACTTCCTGGTCCTGTTCCGGGATTCTGGCTGCCAGTTTCGCTCTCTCTACACGTACTGCCCCGAGATGGAGGAAATCAACAAGTTGGCCGGCATCGGTCCTAAAACCATCTCACGCAAGATGATCGACGGCCTCTACAAGTACAACTCGGACAGGAAGCAGTTCAGCCAAATTCCAGCCAAGACCATGTCTGCGAGTGTCGACGCCATCACGATCCACAGCCACCTGTGGCAGACCAAAAAACCAGGAACACCGAAGAAAGTAGCGGCCGTAAAGTCCTAGTGTCTCTCCACGTCGGATGTACACAATCTCAATGCACTTGTTTGTACATATTAGAGTCCTACAACACTTTTTACACTCTTCCGTCAGTTCGGACACACAAGTTTGCGAAAATTATGCACAACTGGAATGTAAAACTCTACGGGGTGGCAAATGGATCAAACTCATGTAAGACTTTCTGATTCACGCTGTTTTACTGCACCGTGTACGTGTCGTTTTTATTTAAATGTGCCAAAATAATGAAAAGTTGTCAAGGATGACCCGTTATTTTAATTTGGTACACTAAAGCACTGAATGTCCTCAGTTTGTATAGAAATCTCGCACATATGTTGACGTGTGGCCTTTTTTGTCTATATTTTAATTTGATTTATTTTTTACGACTGTCCTGATATGATTGTACGGCTGCTTATGGATAGGTTCTCACATGCGTAGCTTGTGATTTATTACAGTTTAGTATTGCAAGGGAATCCTGTCATATCTAGTATTCATTAACCAGTGTGCTAATGTGCAGTGAGTGGTATTGTTTGCAGGCCGAACCCACTTTTGATGGGTTTTTCAACATTATATGATGGCATTGATTCACAGCAGGATTGTGAATTCATTTAATTTTATTCCTGTTTGGTGTATTTGCTTTTTTTTATATGTATATATATTTTGGGGGGACCGACTGAAGGAAATGTTCAGCGTAATGCTCAATTTAATCAATATTTATATTTCGGTCTTAAATAAGACTAGGGGTTAAAATGGAAACCTTTTTTATTGTTGGTGCGATTAAAAAATCAGGCGGATTATGGTGGACTGAATTGTTTCGACTATATTTCCATTGATTAAGATATGCTGGAGTAATAACCATTTTCAAAATACTTTTGTACTGTTATGTATGCTTGTGGCAACTGATCTTAAGTATTTCCCTGTCCTGGGTCACGCAGAACTATTAAAAGCAGTTTACCAAATGATATTTTACCGAATTGTTGGAGACATTTCTATGTTTTGTGACTGAGGGCTAAATCATTTGAATGGGAAATTATTAATTTTTTGACTTTAAGAGGTCAAAACATGCCACATTTTGTGCGCCTGGAGTCTGTGTGGCATTTTAAAATGTTATGAATCTTAGTCTGTAAGGTGCGATCATATTAGCGAAATTGCGTTAAAAATTTGGTAATTCTGTTAAATTTCTCCGGCAAAAAATGTCCATTGTCAATAGTGTTGTAATGCATGAAGCACAGCTCACAAAGGTGTCGCTTTCAAACCAAGCAACTTTCTGTTGGTCAAAGCGGCGAATTTGCGCGAGCATCTCTGCATGGGGGGCATCTTTGCGAAATTACCAATCGCGCAAATTTATACACAATGACACCATTTCAACAGAGAAAAATGGTTGCGAAATGTGACCGCATCTTCAATCGTCTTACTGCAAAATGTGTCTGTTTACGGGTAGAGGCTTCTGTTGCCTGACTGAAAAACAACAGCCTTCCTATTGTTTGAGTAGGAGTTGTAAAAATTGTCATTATTTTTGGTGCTTGACTCTTAAAACATAAACATGCACACTTGTTCTCACAAACATCTACTGAGTAGTTCGAATGACGTCTGTGTTTGTAATGGAAATAATGCGCACAGCCTTGAATTCAACGTAGCCTGTTAGGACGCCATCTTTAGTCCTTTAGGAAGCTACTACTGGAAATGGAGTTATTATTTGGCCATTTCGGACCACTGTAAATGAGCACGATAGAAAACTGTACAGTGTGTGTTCTCTGATCTCTCCGGCACGTCTCTCTCTTTTATTTTCTTTCAGGCGCTGTGCTGTCATATTGTTCAAATAACATTCTTTGCATTCAATAAATTTCGCATGGCCTCATTTGCAGCTTGCCGATTATTCTTTAACTTTGTATATTAACATGCATACTAAAATTGTGGAAGTAACTAGGGAAAAGTGCATACTTTTGAATAATTAGGTTTCTAGTACTCAAAAGTGCCTCGAATTATCACTCTTGAATATTCATGACCATGTCCTGTCATGCAAATATACATATATATTAGGGCTGTGAAACGATTAATCGCATCCAAAATAAAAGTTTAATATATATTTCTGTAGTGTGTATAATTATTTTGTATATACAGTGAATACACACACATGCATGTATACATTTAAGAAATATTTCCATGTATATACTTTACATATAATAAAATAATTATACACACTACACACATATATGTAATATGTAAACACAAACTTTTATTTTGGATGCGATTAATCGCGATTAATCGTTTCACAGCCCTAATAGATAGATAGATAGATAGATTTTAGAACATTGTACATTTTTAGAATGTTTCTTGAACATTTAACTCTTAATGCATTAATGTTGATGTATGACATTACAAGTAACATGCATAAATCAGATTACTTTTTTGTAATAAGCAACACATTAAAAGTAACATGCATAACACAATCAAATTACATTTTTGATGTAACAGGCAACACATTACAAGTAACATACATAATCAGATTACATTTTTGACGTTTTTTTTTTTTTTTTTTTTTTTCTAAAATAAATTCTAAAATAAATACTTGGAAATGTAACAATGATGTGACTCATGAGATGCAACTTGATGGTAGCCTACAGCATTTTCTGGTCTTTTTTTAACCAGCAAGAGTCTCCTTTGATAGATGGATAGCCAGTTGCCACTTTTGCTCAGTCTCAGTCAGCTTGCTGACGAATCTGGAATGTCGGTCAAATGCAGGCTATTTGCAGGCATGATTCAAATGGTTATTCGTGTATGTAAATATCCAAGGCTACTTTGACGAAAAGGATGAGTTGTAGCTGTTGTGGAATAAACTAATAAAATATAGAGCCAGTTTCAGCAATCGTTCTCTCCCTCAAAGTTATGACACGCCCAACTCGGAAACTCGGATATCACCATTTTGTCCGAGTTTCCAAAGATTAACTTGACAAATTCATGTCCTATTTTCTTACAAAGAAATACGATCTTATCGATTGCACGCGAAGGCAGCATAAGTACACGGCTCATCATCTATACTAGAATATCTGATAATTTAATTTCCCAATCACCAGGCTGGCAGCTGACAGATGGTGATTCATGAGCAGGACGTGACGGTTTCTCTCTCAGGTGTTGGGACACACACTCACTCAGTCAGACTCAGACGGAGTGAACACACACGAGCGACAATTATTCAGCCATTCAAGAGCATTTCTGACATCTCTGGTGAGTTGACTTATGTTGTAATAATATTTGTTTAGGCTAATTTAGTAGAACTAAAGACTTGAATGCCTAATTAAGCTACTTTCGCTTCTTCATGGGTGTAGTGAATCCATGTGTAGCCATAGCTACTTTAACATTGACATCAATTTACTTAGACTATGTATTACTGATCAAGAAAAAGGAAGGAAAACAGGGTCACATCACATTTAGATTAGGGTCCATTTCTCACTATTAACAAACTAACTGACTTTTGTCTCAATAAACTCCTTATTAATAGTTAGTAAGGTAACTGTTAGTTGTTAAGTTTACGTATTGGTTGGATTAAGGGGTGTAGAGTATGGTCATGCAGAATAAGGCATTAATATGTGCTTTATAAGTAATAAACAGCCAATATCCTACTAATATGCATGGTAATAAGTAAGAGTTGGACCCTAAAACGACAACATGGCTCCTTATTTATATTTGGAAGTCACACATAAAAAGTCTAAATGGCATTACTAGTGTCAAACTAAGTGCCATTGATTTTAAAGAACGATAACACAAGCACACATCTTAATCATTTTAAATAATAAGATAAAATGTTCATGTTGAGGATGAAATTGTGGTTGTAAAACGCACGTCAGTGTTATGAAATTCACCTTTGCTTAATCTGTTTGAAGAATTGACTTAATACATGGATAAAAATCACTAGTTGATTCAATGTCATTTTATAAATAAGCATTTTTTTCTTCCTGTTTTGTGGTGAAATACACATTTTTGTGTGACTCTTAAAAATAAAGGTTCCAAAACGTTTTTTTTTGTTGTTGTTTTTTCCCCCTCTATTCTATATTTCCTCACTATTTTTGAGTGTACGCACATCACACATTAAACACTGAGGTAAACTCAACAGCATCTCAAGTCCTGCTCTGACTTGCCTGAACGCTAGAAGGGAATGTTCCTTTTTTTACGCCCATCTGATTCCCCAGGTCTTACACCTACTCATTTTTAGTTTAAGTACAATTTTGTGTGTGTGTGTGTGTGTCTTTGTGAATATAGTCCTGCCACAATAGCATTTGTTGTTGTTGTTGTTCTACAAAGAGCTGTAACCTTTAGCTGATGATTAATCACCTCGAGCATTCACAATTATTAAGCATATTTGTTTTAGTGAATTGTACGAACAAAGGCCAAACTGGGTGTGTTTTCCAACGTAAAAGTGTTACGCAATGTGAGTGACACATTGAGTGTCATTGGAAGGCTCCAGGTTAATAAATCACAAAGTATTTCAGTTCAACCTAAACCATTTGAATACTCAGGAACCATGATCCTATACAGTTCAATTAAAACGGCCTCTATTTATACCTGAAGCTGGAATTACCAGTTGCTAAATGTGCGAAATAACAGAATGACACAAGATATTAAAAAAGATTTTCTAGCTCTAATTTTTGCAATTCCTTTGGCGAGTCATCAGGGTCTTTAGTTCAGCTATGATATCACTTCCCGTTTCATGTTTTTTGCATGGACTAGGCAATTTTTCTTTTACATTAATTGGTTAAAAAATAAATTAAATTTTATTTATGATAACATGCCCTGAATTACTATTTCAAACAATTAAAAAGATTATTATTATTTTACAGTTAATGCTACAAACTTATATTTTAGTTTGATAGCAATATTTAAATAATTGTACAAGTTGCATTTTAATGTATTTTGAATAAAAAACGTATTTATTATATTTTATCTTGAAATTTTTCGACTTTAATCTGAAAATATTTTGACTTTAATCTCAAAATTTTACGTCTTTAATCTCGAAATTTTTCAACTTTAATCTCAAAACACTTCAACTTTAATCTTGAAACATTTCGACTTTAATCTCGAAACATTTCAACTTTAATCTCAAAACATTTTAACTTTAACCTCAAAACATTTCGACTTTAATCTCGAAACATTTCGACTTTAATCTCAAAATATTTCGACTTTAATCTCAAAATTTTTCAACTTTAATCTTGAAACATTTCAACTTTAATCTCGAAACATTTCTACTTTAATCTAGAAATATTTCGACTCATTTTTTTCTACATTAATTTTTTTTTTTACAGACTTTTTTCTTTTTTTTAACGTTGCAGTTCGGGGCTTCCGTAACAGACTGAAAATTTTTATTTAAAAAAAAATATCTATAAAACTTTTATTATTTTTATTTAAAGGGGTTGTTTTTGAAGGCAGCATAAATGTATCCGTCACTGCCTTTGATATCCCACAATCCCGTGCGTTCCACTCCGTGACAGTTGAGCTAAAACAATATCAATATGGCGTCTGACAGTTGCGGTTTGTGTGTAAATGTACGTTTTTGACCAACGGTTTCCATTTCTGATGTCATTTCTAGCGATAAATTACTATTGTAGTACTGTAATTAAAGGGACACTCCACCCATTTGCATTAAGCTTTCCATTGTTAGAAACCCATACTATTGAATGGTCGTGCAACACTCTTTCATTTTCCCCTGAGACGAGAGAAATCCGCTATTTACCTTATTCACTTCCTCCTACAATGATGCAAAAATCGTCATTTTACGTCATTGTAAGAGGAAGTGCAAGAGAGGGGGATTTCTGTAAAGACTACAAGCACAAGATCTCACCCTTTTAAACCCGCCCATAGGGGGTTGGACCTAATGGGCTAACAGACCAATTACAGATCAGTGCCAGGGCGTTTGATTTCACTGGCAGAAACTTTTTGGCTGCATTTCACATGTAAAATCACGCATCAGAGTAAGTGTGGCGATTGTCTGAAGCCCATATAGAATTACGCCAATCCATTGGCTGATGGCGCGGGCGCCGCCTTGACGTTCTTACGTCGTCATATTATATTAGCGCGATTATCTGATTTCATTGTGCGAAATGTTTTCCAGGCGGTAGCATAGAGTGGAGCTCAACTCTAGTCTACATTGATGGGTGGAGTAGTGGGAGTGGCCTGCGGAGCTGAGCATTGCAATGCACTATGGGGATTGTTGTCTACAATAAACAAGCACTAAAAAGTCATTTTCTGCCTTTTATCAGCCAAGTAGGACCCAAATTAGAAATATAATAGATACTATTCTACATATATGACCCACTTTCAATACAAGTTCATGTCTCCACCGGTGGAATTACCCTTTAAATATTTGCTTAGTTTTCTCCAAAGCTCAATTTTGCTGTTGATCATTAAACCATTAACTTACTCTGCCTCAGAACCCTATCAGTTTTGTGATGTACCTTCATGCACAATCATTGCCTGATAAGGCAGCGAGGCAACAAGTCTGCTGCCTAAAGCGTCTACCAACCCTGTGAGCATGTGAACAGGTGGGAGAGGCTCGTCCGAAAAGTTCTTACTCAGCAATAATAGGATTTGATTTAACACTCATGAGTAACAGCAAGCCTGTCTGACTCTGCAGTGAACTGAATAATTCATTTGATTAATCCTCTAGGCCTGTGCTTGACTAACCAGAATAACTGTTTTTAATTAGGCGAAGTAGAAAAATCAAGCTTGCAAAAGCAAGCACTCACATTCTCTTCACATTCGCCTGACTTTCATTTTTAGGTTGAACTTTTGGATGTTGCTCAGTCGAAACACGCAAGACAAGAGCATCTCGTTTGAATGTAAACATTTCAAACATGATGGCTGTTGTGATTAATCCCACGCAGCGTCACGCGAACATGCAACAGTGTTTAAGCGGGTTTTCAGCCTCAGGCATCAACAATTTCAGGTATCCTCCTCGTACCCTAATCCGCACTTGTCTCAGCCTGCCTCCTTGCTGACATCTGAGTGGGAAAACGACCCGTGTTTCTTGTTTTCAACCACAAATGATTGCTGTGATCTGTCAGCGCACTGTTTTGGTGCAACAACAATGAGTCACCGTTGAATTCCTGGAGTTTAGCGAGGAATGTTTAGGTAAAGCAGGTGTTTACTAAGGGATGAGTTTAAGTGGAGGATTTTGTTTGGTGAAATCTGCTGGTTCAGTGCACTTCTTACAGGAACAGGCCTTGTTTGGGAAGTGGGATCAAATGTATGTATGTTTTGATATAGATCTCAGTGTAACTGAGTGTTTTTGTTCTACAGATGTAAACGGGACAGTGGACAAGGTTTATTTGCACTCCTTCAGCATCCAGAATCATGGACTACCACTTTTGGCCACAAAAACTCTCAAATGATAAACGTATATGTCGGATACGGACGCCCACCAATAGCCCGATCTACTATGGAAAAACATGAGATTGTTAAATATGCTAAATATTGAAGTAATCATTTTGTAGGTTTTTTTTGTTTGTTTAAGTGAAAAACAAAGCCATGTATTATCCTCTGTTCTTCATCATTCTGCATGGCTGCATGGCTGGATGGAGCAATCTGAATAGCACCCCCCGAAAAACCATTCAATATGAAGGTAAGAGTCTTCTTTCTTGAGTTTACAATTGAGCCCTCCTTGAGTTTAACTCTATATGGACCATGTTCGTGTTTGGCTATAATGCTTCATTGACAAATCGAAAACTCATGTTTTTGCCCTTAGATAACCATGTGATCATGTTTAAAGAGGAAGGTATCTGGAATTACTCCACAATGCTGATTAGGGAGGATCTGGGTTTGCTGGTGTTGGGGGCGAGGGAGGCCGTCTACGCCCTTGACATAAACGATATCTCCGATGCCAAGTCTAAGGTGCCGGTTTGATTTCCTTTCCTTTATCTCTTGGCGACAAAAAGACAGAATTCTTCGCCCTGTTTAAAAACGACACATCTGTATAGTCTGTATTGATTTCTCTCCACCCATCAGGTGCTTTGGAAAGTTACAGAAGAGAAACAAAAGGAGTGCACCACTAAAGGAAAACATCCTGACGTGAATAACTGCCACACATTCTCACAAAGACACATAAACACATTAGCATAAATACTTTGAACAAGGGAGGTTGTTTCTATTTGATATCAAAAATTGGATTACCTTTTCAGATCGACTGTCATAATTATGTACGGATGCTGCATCAAATGAGCAACGGCATGATGTACGTGTGCGGAACAAACGCCTTTAGCCCAACCTGTGATTACATAGTAAGTGACATAACCAGGAAAAACTATATACATATTAATATATATAAAAAATATAATTATTTTTAATCATTTAAATAAAAAAATATTATTCTTATAAAAGTCTTATAAAATTCTGAACAAATATATATATTAAATTATAAAGACAAACAAAATGAAATAATTGGCTTTTACTTTGTCATTGTACTCACTGTTTGTATTTTAGCAATCCATCACTTTCTTCCTGGAATGGGATTAGGAACGTCAGGTGTCATGTGATCCATCAAGCGCTAGTGTAATAGTGCTAAAAACCAAGATTAAAAACCTTGTGTTCATTGCATTTGTTTGAACAGACATACAGTGACGGGCAGCTGAAGCTGGAGGGAAAGCTGGAAGACGGGAGGGGGAAATGTCCTTTCGATCCGTTCCAGAGATCCTCTTCTGTTATGGTTGGTATGTATGTCGTCCATACAGGTTTTTTTTTAGCAGTTTAAAGTGTCCTTTTATGCTTTTCCGAATATTAGCTTTCATGCATTGTGTAATATAGCTTTTTGTGAAGGTAAAATGTCAGCAAAGTTTTAAAAAAATCAAAGTGCACGACAAATTAAGTTATTGTGTCTTAAAAGAAACAATCGATTTGAACTGCCGAAAAGAGTCGTCAGCTTTTCAAGTCTCACTTCCAGTTACAAACCTAAGTAACAATGTAAGAAATGTGCATAATGACAGCCTACGGTCTGAACAACGTCTACTTTGACCCTCAAACATTGTAGTTGTAGCTGAGACTGAAAGAGTTTGGTTTGTGTTGTCGACGTTTTGGGAACACATTTTTGCTGCTAAAGCAAATCCACTTGCATGCACTTCTGGAGGATGAGGACTGGAACTGATACAGAAAAAACTATGCTGTCTGGTGGTATTATTGTGTATTGCGTGCTGAGGGATCCTCTGAAATTCAGATATTGTAATGAGCGTTTTGACAACAGACTGGGCCATCTGACCAATCAGAGCAGAGAAGACCAATCACAAAAGACTGGGCCGTCTGACCAATCAGAGCAGAGTAGAACAATCACAACAGACTGGACCATCTGACCAATCAGAGCAGAGTAGACCAATCACTACAGACTGGACCATCTGACCAATCAGAGCAGAGTAGACCAATACCAACAGACTGGGCCATCTGACCAATCAGCGCAGAGTAGAACAATCACAACAAACTGGGCCATCTGACCAATCAGAGGAGAGTAGACCCATCACAACAGACTGGGCCATCTAACCAATCAGAGCAGAGTTGACCAATCACAACAAACTGGGCCATCTGACCAATCAGCGCAGAGTAGAACAATCACAACAGACTGGGCCATCTGACCAATCAGAGCAGAGTATACCCATCACAACTGACTGGGCCATCTGACCAATCAGAGGAGAGTAGACCCATCACAACAGACTGGGCCATCTGACCAATCAGAGCAGAGTAGACCAATACCAACAGACTGGGCCATCTGACCAATCAGAGCAGAGTAGACCAATACCAACAGACTGGGCCATCTGACCAATCAGAGCATAAAATGGGCACTTTAAATGCGTTGTGGAGGGGAAAAAAATGTACAATATATATATTTATTTATTTTTCCATAGATGAAGACCTGTATTCTGCCACGTCCATTAACTTTCTGGGTTCGGACCCAGCCCTATCCCGCACATCTCCCATTTCACTGCGCACAGGGTTAAGCTTCAATGGTATGTCAGACGTGATGACAAGACTTCCTCCAGGAAACAAAGATTAATTACAGGCTTTAATTATTCTAATTGTAGATTAATACAAGGCTTTGTGTAAATAATATTCTAGTATTTATGAATTTATAACTATTTATGTATAATTCATTTATGTATTTTCAGTTTTAGTAATTAAGTTTTGTGCTTTTGTCGTTTTTTTGTTTAAAAATATTTCTATGTAGCTTTTATTTATTTCTATTTCACTTTTAGTCATTTTACAGTACATCAGTAATTTACTGCCAAGAAAACATTTCTAATTTTAAGGGTTTTTTTTATGTACGATTTATATTATAGCTATTATCAGTTATAGAAAACGACTTTTAATAGTTTCATTTTTAGTTCACAATAACAACTGCTCCGAACATAGTGAAAAATCACATTCCTTTACCCACTCAAGAGCCAAGCTTCATCTACATGGACATGGTCCCAGAAAGTGAGGACAGTCCTGAGGGCGACGATGACAAAGTCTACATGTTCTTCAGTGAGAACGCCGTGGAGTACGACTTCTTCAACAAGCTTGTGGTTTCGCGGGTCGCCAGAGTCTGCAAGGTAACACTTCACTGGTCCCTTTAACAAACGGGAGGATTTAGCATATTTAGCCCTGATCTTGTAAAGACTTTTGTCGTTTTCCTGTTTTACAGGGTGATATGGGTGGTCTAAGGACCCTCCAAAGGAAATGGACCTCCTTCTCGAAGGCTCGTCTGGACTGCGCGGTCTCTGAGCCCAGTCTGCCCTACGTCATACAGGACGTCTTCCATGTTCGCAACAAGAAATGGAGGAAAAGTGTATTTTACGCTGTCTTCACCTCTCAATCGTAAGTTTTGTCCTTCGTGGTCTTTTTTTTTGCATCTGAATTCACTCATTGGTTCAGTTGACAGTTGTGTTTGTGTTTGCAGGAGCTCAACAGATCAGTCTTCAGCGGTATGTGCATTTAATGTAACCGATATCAGCGAGGTGTTCTCTCACGGCAAATTTAAGACTGAGGTGACCGTGGAAATGTCTGATGTGAAGTGGGTCACATACAACGGAGAGCTTCCTGTCCCCCGACCAGGAGCTGTGAGTGGTCATTAATAGTCTTATATAGTCTTTAAGGGGATGCGTGTAATATTGAACATGTTAAAATAGTTTAAATACTTAAAAACTACCATGTACCAGAATGTTTTAATTTACTGTGGTGAATACTTTAATTTTGGTATTGAAATTCTACTGTAACAAATTTCAAAGAATATATTGATATTATCGTATATTTACTATAAAATGAAAAAAAAAGTATTTTTTTGCAAGGGTATAAACGTTTCACGTGCAATCTTCGCAGTGCATCAACAACGCAGCGAGACGTTTGGGAATTAAAAGGTCGCTGGACCTCCCTGATAAAACCCTGCAGTTCATCCGAGACCGGCCTCTCATGGACGACGCAGTCCGTCCAATCACAGGCAAGCCCCTGCTGCTCAAGAGAGGCCCGTTGATGACCCGTCTTGTGGTAGACGTCGTAACTGCATTGGACGGACAGACCTATCCTGTGATGTTTGTCGGCACTGGTGAGATTCCCTTTAGCCTCTAGGGCGAAGCAGCTCGTAAAGTCAGTTAGAGGGTGTGTGTAAACTGTCATTCAGAGGAATGTTAATTGTTCCTTGGACTGAGCTATTGCATTTGTTTTTATTTTTTTGTTGAGTAGTGTTAAAAAGCTGGATGTAGAATTTAGTTTTTGTGGTGAAAGTTAATTGTTTTTTTTTGTTTTTTTGTTTTCCATCAGAAAATGGTTATGTGCAGAAAGCAGTGAACTATGATGGAGAAATACACATCATTGAAGAAGTTCAATTGTTTCAGAACACTGAGCCGATTGACATCCTACGACTTTACCAGAATCAGGTACGCAATACTGGGGATGGGTAGATATGAGTTTCATTTGCTTATAATTCACTTTAATGTTCCTTTTTGCTTCCATATGAAACAGTATTAACTAAGTAAGGAGTCATTTTCACATCATTACATTATACTTTTGTAATGACTCTTAATTACCAAAGTAGTGAATTATTTAGTCGCATAGTTCCTCATGAAAAAAAAGCAAGAATCAGCACGAGTTGTCTGTCTGGTCCAGTTGTACGCAGGCTCTGCGTCTGGGGTTGTACAAATGCTCGTCAGCAACTGCAGTCGTTATTCTTCCTGTCTGGACTGTGTGCTGGCTAGAGACCCTTACTGTGCCTGGGATGTCACTGCTCTGTGGTGCTCTAGATTACCCACATCACCTGAGGACGCAAAAGGGTAAGACACTCACACACAAGAACAATGCCCAGTGATAGGTGATCGGTTCTGCACAGATTTTGCTCATCTCAAACAAGCCTACTCTCTTTCCTCCCATCATGAGTGGACACGCCCCTTACTGCTGATTGGCTCACTCTCTTTCCTCCCATCATGAGTGGACACGCCCCCTACTGCTGATTGGCTCACTCTCTTTACTCCCCATCATGAGTGGATACGCCCCCTACTGCTAATTGGCTCACTCTGTCTTCACTATCATAAGTGGACTCGCCCCCTACTGCTGATTGGCTCACTCTTTCCTCCCCTATCATGAATGGACACGCCCCCTACTGCTGATTGACTCACTCTCTTTCCTCCCATATCATGAGTGGACACGCCTCCTACTGCTGATTGGCTCACTCTCTTTCCTCCCATATCATGAGTGGACACGCCTCCTACTGCTGATTGGCTCACTCTCTTTCCTCCCATATCATGAGTGGACACGCCTCCTACTGCTGATTGGCTCACTCTCTTTACTCCCCATCATGAGTGGACACGCCCCCTACTGCTGATTGGCTCACTCTCTTTACTCCCCATCATGAGTGGACACGCCCCCTACTGCTGATTGGCTCACTCTCTTTACTCCCCATCATGAGTGGATACGCCCCCTACTGCTAATTGGCTCACTCTGTCTTCACTATCAAGAGTTGACACGCCTCCTACTGCTGATTGGCTCACTCTCTTTCCTTCCCATCATAAGTGGACTCGCCCCCTACTGCTGATTGGCTCACTCTTTCCTCCCCTATCATGAGTGGACACGCCCCCTACTGCTGATTGGCTCACTTTCTTTACTTCTCCATCATGAGTGAATACGCCCATTACTGCTGATTGGCTCACTCTCTTTCCTCCCCCATCATGAGTTGGCACACCCCCTACTGCTGATTGGCTCAATCACTTTCCTCCCCCATCATGAGTGGACACACCCCCTACTGCGGATTGGCTCAATCATTTTCCTCCCCCGTCATGAGTGGACACGCCCCTACTACTGATTGGATACAATGTGTTCTGCTGCTCGGTCCGATCCACTTTCTCAGAAATCACTCAATGCACCTTTAAACAATAAAACTACATTTCATTAACTTCAGTCAGGTTTTTTTGTAGCTGAGGCTATATTTAGGTGTGTAAACAACCCATACTGACAGTTAACGTCAACGTTTTTGCATTTTAGTAATCTGATACAAAGCCTGAAAGACGGGGATGCCACTCGATGCCCAACAACAGGTATGTAGTAACTTAGTTGTTCTGATTCCACATTAAAATCAGGGCTTTATTTAACATGTTCTCCCCTTCATCAGCTACCGGGGAACCAAAGATCCGCACCCTGGTGCTGGGAAACAACATCAAGTTGCTGTGTCGAGCAGAGTCTAACCTGGCCCAGGTCAAGTGGAACTTTGCTGGAAAGCCACTCCCCTACTCAAACAAGAAGTACACTATTTACAGTGATGGCATCCTCATCTACAATGCTTCAGCCAATGATGCTGGACTCTATACCTGCATGTCAGTCAAGTGGGCAAAAGGGAGACAGTACAGCCAAACACTTGCCATTTATGACTTACGTGAACGCTTACCAGTCGATGTGACGGACAAGATTAAGGCTACATTGGAAATACTTACTGAAAGCCACACAACCTCATCAGGTTTGCATGAAATCGAAGAGCCACCTATTGCTATTAATCAGAGCAGTGAGAGTAAATGGGTTGTAATGCAAGTGTCGCTGGCCGTGATATCCGTCATGATGGCCTGTTTGCTGATCTGGAACTTGTACATGGGCCACATCTCTCCATTTATGTGCTGTGGGAGACAGCCAATCAAAAGCCCCAGGAATCTTCCAGGAAAGGAATACATGCACACGGGAAATGATGCCGTAGACAGTAAACAGACAATGGTCAGGTTGTGCGTCACAACAAACAGTAATACTGAAGCAACCAGCTTCCACAGGAATAACAGCAATGGGGATACGTCAACAGACATTCATATTTTTAAGTACATTACGGATGAGTCTGAGATTTAAGATTTGATTTTTTTTATAGAATTTTTGTACTTATTTATTTTTTATTACTAATAAAAAAAACTACAAATTCATTCATTTTAACTAATTTTAAAATTTAATTGTGAAAAAAATAAAGATTTTCTTAAGAAATATGAAGGTAAAACATCCTACTAATCAGTAGCTGATTGTCAATTCAAGATTTGGTGCCGTGACCCGGAGTACTCAAGCACACATTTCTTTACAACACCGTCCTCTCTCCTGTTTCACCTCAATTAATACTATGAATTTGGACACACTACGCATTTCACATACTGCTTTTCACCTATTATTTAGTAGGGAAGTATGCATATTTAGACGCAGAGAGTGACCGCAATAAAAGCGACTACAGTCTGAAAAGTAATGTTTTATTGAACTGAAGCTGGAAAGCCATTCCAGTCACATGTCATATGCAGGATTGTTCAATACATTGGCTACACAAAGACAGTCATGAAACGCTGCAAAATCATCCTCCTGTAGCTCTGTGGAGGGAGATATTGAGCAAAAAGGACCAAAGATCAAGTCTAATATTAAAAATGAGTATTTTAGCCTCCAGCCAACCACAACTGTAAACTCGAGATGAAACCAGGAATAAATGCGCAATACATATTTATACGCCAGTATTAAAAATAGCACAGGATATAGCCACATCCACCAATAAATTGTAGCACTTGAGGGAAACTCGAAAGCTATTGGTTCACACATGCTTAATATGCATGAAGAATTAAGGCTGTCTTCATTTCAAAGACGTGAAAAGCTTTAAACGGAAAGACAGGCACAAGATGTGTTTGCAAGGAAACATTCCCAGGCATAGCATTTTAAAAAAATCTGAAACGCTTTGCTGCGGTGTATAAAAGGGGCGTGTCATATGCAAACCATACCATTTACAAAGACATTTAACACATTTAAGACATTCATGATGGTTGTGAATCTTAAAAGTGTAAGTGAATAATTATCCGAAGTAAAAATAAAATAAAAATTAACTGCAAAAGCGCCGATGTGGAAGAGATGCAAGATAGATTTTTTTTTTTAGGTAAATAGAAAAGCTGCCATGATTTAGAAAAGAACACTCAGACATACTTTTCCCCTCTCAAAAAACACTTTCTCTAACATAGTCAAGCAATTGTGTGTCATATATATATATATATATATATATATATGCATTTCCATCCATTTGTTTTAACACAAATCCAAGTCGATGGAATTACAAGAAAAATCAAGGCTAAGATGAACTGAAGGCATCTGATGAATTCATCGATTTAATAGTATATAACAGTGTCTTTTTTTATTTTTGAACTAATGTTCTGCCATTTGGCTGTCAGTGTGAGGATAGTATGTGTTGAGATGTCTTTAAAGGAGCAGTTTGCCTATTTTGATTGTTCATTTAACCTTCTGGTTAGTGTTTCCGTCAGAATTTGCACCCAGAACAGGGTTTTGACACATTTTCGATCGTCATTCACTGCTATTTAAATCAGTGTTCACAGGAGATCTACTCAGAATGTTATACACATTCTTTTTAAGGAGTGATTAACATTCAATCTTTTTGCTATATTAAAAAAAAATAGGACAAAAGCAAAATAACCATTCACGAGTCCACAGCCATGTGATCTGTCTGAAGACTTTTCTTACTGCACAAAAATATTAGGTACTGTCCCTCTGCAAACTGCCCCTTTGACGTTAAGACAAACAGTGGTGCTGTTGCTCCATCTGTAGTTCAGAAAAGGTATCACCAGGGTCCACTCTCTGGATAGTTGGGCACAGCGGCTGGATACTGGGGCAGGCTGGGGCCTGTTTCAGAGATGGCGTTGAATCCGGCTTCTCTCACAGGGGCGTTCTTCCACACACCCGTGCTCCACTCTTCCTGCGCCCGCTGTAAACTGCCTCCTCCACCACGATATAGTCGATGGACCTTTGAGGGGGCAACACTAATGTGACACTTTGCTCTTTTATTTAACTGATTATACACTATACTCGTTCATCAAAATGAACAAATCTTTTTCTGAGTCATTTGGTTCATTCAACGAACGAAATGAACGAATTGACTCATTTTGATGAACGAGTTCGAACAGGAGAGTCACGAACGTGCATCGCAATACAGAGCAAGCATCTGAGCTTATAAAACTTAAACTTGTTTTTATTTATTTAATAAGCGATCGTTTCGCTTGATAAGACCCTTATTCATCGTCTGGAATCGTTTAAAGCCCTTTGAACAGTTTGTAGTTTGCACTGAAACGGTCTTTTGGACCTTAAACCGTTTGGTTCCCATTGAAGTGCATTATATGGAGAAAAATCCAGGAATGTTTTCTTCAAAAAAAAATTTCATTTTCGACTGAAAAAAGAAAGACATGGACATCTTGGATGGCATGGGGGTGAGTAAATTATCAGCAGAAGTTTTTTGAAAAGTGAACTACTCCTTTAATGATTTGCTCTTTAAAGTAAGACTTTTGTGTGTGTGTGTTCAAATCATACCTTGATGAGAACAAGTCCCATGAGAACCGTATCTACGGTAAAGAGCAGAGTACAGATGAGCATGAATATAGCCGAGGTTACATTCGTGCTGAAAAACGTCACTGTGGCAATCCAACCACTGCAAAGAGAGGAAAATATGGCGAGTTAACATCATTGGAAGTATTAAAATGGCCACACAAAGATTGGATTTATTGATGCAACACAAGTTAAGCTCAATCCTTATGTTGATTACCCCAAAAATATCCCTTTTAAAAACTAACTACAATCATTTATACTTGTTTTGATTATTACAAATAATTATCAAAAAATAAACATAGAAAGAAAGTTAGAGTTGGGGTAAAGCAGAAGTCAAACTGCCGTTTGGGGTCGGTAACACTTTTTAAATGTTTTTGAAAGAAGTTTTTTAACGTGAGCAGGGCGGGAGAGCGAGAGCCTGGGGTATTTTACCTTGCTGTCCTTATTATGCTTATATGCCACAGCCGGCTGTTTATGCATATTTTATTATGCATTAAAGTTTAAAGCGATGAAAGTTACATATATTACATTCCAATGAAAAAGTGCAGAATCACTACTCATTTCACGTTATCTGATGAATTAAAATTGTGGGGTAACGCAGCGCTGTTTTGCTTGTTTAAAACAATCACGCTAAATAAAATATTCAAATATCAAATATTGATCACTTCGTGTATACAGACAGGCGCCATCTTAGAAATTAGTCTCGATAAGTCGATCCCCGAACGCCGTTCATACAGTTCAGATCACTCAGCACGTCATTCATGGTTTGACTTGTCGCGTCTGTTTTCCAAAGATGGTGCCGCCTGTATACACGAAGTGAACTGTCTTCATAAAGTATCTTCTTATTAAACGGTCTGTACACTTACAAAGTTCTCAATGCTTCGTTTTGCATGTATGGACCCTCATTATGTTACTGTGTTATTGTGGGGCTATTTTGAGCCTTGTTAGTGGTATAAACTAGCGATTTATTTTTACTTAGTACATGCCCCCAGTACTAGCGTTATACGCTAAACAGTTTTTAGAGATAAAACTCTTTACGTTCGATTATCATGAAAACAAATCTCAGAGAATGGTTGACTAGGTACCGATGTTTTATTAGACCAAAGGTTCATTGTTCGCCGGAGTTCTCCTTTAACTCAACTCATATTAAATATTGAGCATCCTAAGATTTCAGTGTTACTCACCATGCACCCCAACCTGATATTCCAAGACTCTGGATGAAAGCGAGAACACATTGCAGGAAGAAAATGAAGAAGAAGGTCATGAAGTTGAAGGAACTATCAGCCCTGAAAAGACACACACAAAAAACGAAACGGTTCAATCAAAGTGAAAAACCAAACTCAGCAAATTTGTCCTTTGTCAAAAAGAGTTTCCTTGCCTGAATGCTTTATAGAGCGGCCTGAACCAGCAGGTATAGCTACATGGGCTGAAAACCAACAGCCAGAGGATAGAAAACCCAAAGTTGATCGCTCCACCCCCTCCGGCCCACCAGGCTATGCAGGCCACCACATTAACACAAAGTGTGATGGAGTATACTGGAAAAACAGAATAGCAGTCATCAGATAAAGGAATCAGATCTTAAAGTGATAGTTCACCCAAAAATGATCACGTTGTTCCCCTGTAAGACTTTTGTTCATCTTCAGAACACAAATGAAGATCTTTTAATGAAATATGAGCCAGTTCTGTACTCTCCATTGACAGCTGCGTCATATTGACACTGACAGCTACTCCATTGACATATTCATCATATAAAGCGATCATGTCTACTGAAAATTTGGACTGAACCGCTTAAATCATTTGGATTAGTTTTACGATGAGGGTGAGTGAGTGAATGATGACAGAATTTTCATTTTTGGGTGAACAACTAACCCTTTAACTGCTTCTATCAAACTTAGGAACTGAAACTGAAACCAAACTATTCCCAGTCAAGTTTGCATTTCTTTACTCACAGATCCAAAGATTGTAAACACGACGCACAAGCTGGCAGTGGGGTTGCGGAATCTCCTCGTCCACATTCTGGTAAAAACATGGCTTTATGCGAAGAAACTTCGGCAGAGGGGGGAAGTTGTTTGCTCGATCTGTCAGGCAAAAAAGGAAATTCTTTTTTTTTTTTTAACCACAGCGATAATAAGGGACCAAAAAGCAGATAAAAACAGAGACATTTATCATTTTTTAATGCCAACCAAACTTGACCTACCTGTCATTTCTCAATTTTGAGAAAGGCTGGATACTGTTGATGTTTCTGGTGCTAATTAACTTTTCCCTCTATGAACCGATATACTGATGTTTTCAGTGCTAAAAGACACAGATATCCTAAAAACGTGCAAAACATTATTAAAAATAGTTTAGGATATAATAATCAGCAACTTAAGTAACTTACATTAAGTAAAATGATACTGTTGATAATGCCATATAAGATCATAACAAATTTAGGGCTTTATTTTGTTTTAAATATGTGTGGATGATTAAAATACTTCTACATTACAGCATATTTGAAAACATAGCACAGGCCAACAGCTAACCATGCACTGTCAAACACAACTGCAGTAGAAAATCAACAGTCAAACTATATCACGTCTGCGCAAATCAGAAATACTATTTCATGTGTTTAAAAGAAAAAAAAACATTGCTTTGATGATATAATAAAACTTGTATTCGCGACGGTACGATACCTGTGCACCGTTAAATAGTATGTTGGGGATGCGTCTGCAGTCTGCAATTGACTCCGGGCGATCACGTGACGGACTGAAGCGTTCTGATGCATTGTGGGAAATGTAGTTCTAAACACAGCCTGTTTTGTACGTGGCAGACGGACGTTTTAACTGCTGAACACTACAAGCCCCATCAGAAGATGATCAAAGGTGTGGTCTCAGTGCTTGTGACTAAAATATTTACCAGTTTCCTTGCCTTGTGGCAATGAAAAAACAGGACATGTTTCTGTTATTTTTGGCAGAAACTTGTAAATATTTTCGTTCTTTTGAATTTAATTTGATCTCAAGATAATTCCAGATCTTTTGCGGAATTACTGATGTTTGTACTTAGCTGTTCAAATATCAATCTTTAAATGTGTTTGCCTATTGAAAAACACTGAATGAATTAATCTCAACTGTTTTATTTAGAAAATCAGTATTCAGTTCTTAAACTGATTTCCGAAACCTTCAAAGCAGTTAGTTAGTTAGTAGCAGTTGCACGGAATAACAACTTTGTGACTTGTTATTTTCATCGGACCAATCCTACTCGAGAATCACACTCATTGTCAAATCACAGCTCTTTGCACGTGTTACGAGGCGGAACCGACCGTGTCAGCCAATAACGTGACTCTTCATTGATCTGACGTAAGACGCCTCTGGCCAATCACAGCCTGCGATCCATCCCTGCAACTGGCTCCCGCCAATTCTGATCGGAGGAGCGCGAGGGAGTCTATCCGGGGATGATACGGGAGCGACGGGACTAGGATTACACACGAAAAAACAGATTCTACAACTCTAAAAGTTACAGAAACTCTTAAAATTTACAGTTGACACGTTAATTCTCAAAGTGGAAAAGACGTGGAGTCGATGACTAGCCTTAAGAAGTTGTGCACGGAGTCGAAAAAAGCGCTCCCCGTTTCCGTTTAACGTTTCCAGTGAGACGACTGCGCGAGCGCACGGAGCTGAAAGGCGCGCGGATGGTGGTCGTCATGCTCGCGGCTGAAGAGCCTTTGGCCTCCACTCCACGCAGAGGTTTGATGTTTAATGTGAAATAAAACTGAGCTAAAGCATGAATAGAGTATGTACACCTGGAATAGTTTGGCAAATAAAGGCATAGACGGATACTAGCAGAAAAGTATAAAAACACCACTTACTACCTGAATTTAATTCTAAAACAATTTTAGTGTAACTCAGTTTCTCTGACAAACGATAAGAATATAATTTTAATGATTTTTCCACGTAGTATTTGGGGTTGTCGAGGGGTTTATAACCTTAATTAGCATGTTAGCAGGTGAGCTATTGGCTCAGATTTGTTATTTGACATTCGAGCTTTCAACGTCATTTTCTATGACTTTCCACACGTATTATGTCTATTTTTTCCATTATCCGTGGTGGTGTGTCGAAGCACGTCCCATTTATGTAGTTTTTAAGCTCAATCCAGTTCTTTGTTCCTCAGTCTTGCGCTAATGGATTAACTTTTCACGTATTCACAGGTTCAGTCGCCGAACTGGCCTACAAACCATCATTCACTGAAAGGCGGGAGATCAAAAATAAACATTTTACGTGAAGTAACTGTCGTACCTGCCGTTACTTCGAAAACCTGTTAGTGTTCTGCGTTTTATGTGAGGAATTTGGGGTATTGAAAAGATAAAAGTTACTATTTAACTCATTTCGGATGTGACTGTCAACTGGTTACTGTGGTAGTTAGCATTTAGACGTAACGTTAGCTATCACCTTTGATATGTCGAGACGTGCTGTTTTTTGCCTCAAGTATTGATATTAACAAAATGTCAAAGTTTACGTCAGAGTGATGTCATTTTATTTTGTTATGGCTTGTAGAATTTATGAAGGATTTGACCTTAACAGAACACACTCTATATTTCAGGCATGGATTGTGTGGGCAAAGCTAATACCAGCAAGAAGCTTGTTCAAGGTAATCAACTCAAGTGTTTATATTTCTGGTCAATAATGTAAAACCATCTGACTCCAGCTAAATACAATATGGTTTAGTAATACTCTGAGGACCCAATCTATTTTATTATTTCTATTGGGGAACTTGACATGAAATTATACTGTATTGGCAGACTTTGGCTCACTTCTAATATATCATGACATTCAACAATTTAGAGGGTGTCAAGTGACAGTGACAAATGTTATTTTAAATTGCTTCCACTTCCGATGGCAAATGAATGTACCATAAATGACAAGGAATTTAAGAGTTTTTTCTTTCTTTTTTTAAAATTGTTTTAAGGGTTTTTTTTCCTTTTCTAATGGTGGTTTTACTTTACTGCAGGATAATAAACAGGTAGAGCAAATAGTTGTATATGTCATTAATGTATAATAGAGAGCCTAAGTCCCTCCCCTCTGCTTCCGGCTCATGGGACCTTATTTCGGAAAAAATACGAATGGTAGTCAATGGCGTGAGACAACTTTTCTTTTTATTCCGTCTGAACTGTGCCCTGAATTACACATATGATGTTTGTCAATTTAAAAGATAATTTTGAAAGTTGAAAACGTCGCAGTTTGTCATACAACAGAAGAGTAACATTTAGTTTTATGTGAAAATCGCTCTATGACCTACATCTCCCGGGAAGCGAAACGAGATCCGCTGCTCGTGTGTGCATTCTGGTACAAAACACTCGGGCATGACGGCGTTACGTTACGATTATAACGTAAGAATATATAAACAATGACAGACATTAGCCTCATTAAAGTTAGCTTCATTCATTGAGAGAAAATGTGCACCTTTGGGGTTTGTAGTCTTTGTAATTACGTATTTTCACAGTCTTATACCTCAACGGTTTCACATCAAACAGTGACTTTCTTTACATTAAAATGTATCTTTTAAATTGACAAACATCATATGTGCAATTCAGGGCACAATTAAAATGAGATCAAAAATTTTGTTGTCTCTCGCCATTGACTACCATACAATAGTTTTCCGAAATAAGGTCCCATGGTGGTCGACCGGAAGAGAAGGGACTTAGGCTCTCTATGCCAAGTGTTTTAAAATCTGTTTAGATTTTGAAATCCATTTTGTGTATTCCAGCCTTGACCAACAGTTTTATCTCCCTATAGCACGTCTACCTTTTAAAAGGCTCAACCCAGAACCCAAGGAATGCAGTGAACCTAAAAGAACCAAAGGTACGGTTGCTCCAAAGTGTTCTGAGCCAAGCGCATCTGATGGAGAAAATGAGATAGACGGCGGCTCCTCCCCGATCCACCGTGGCCCGGCTCTGGTTAACGGCCGCGGTCCACTTGATTGCTTCATGAGCCGACGGAAGCGTTCCCCAGCCCGCTCTGTCCCCGAAGCCACCATCGACCTCACCGAAGACTCAAATGAGGCTATCAAAAACCAGCCTGCACCTCTGGTTGCTGCCACCTGCCCCCTTAGTGAAAAACCGAGTAAAACTTCAGTAGATGCCACAAAATCTACAAAACCAACCACGCCACTGACAGATAAAGAGACGGAAGAGGATGAAGACATCCTCCCACTGCTTGACATAACTCAGGAGTCTGAGACGGACGAAGAGGAGCAGCAGGAGACTGAAGTCAGTCCCGGGAATGAGTCTGTGTTGTCGATTGGATCTACCAGCTCCCTCTCAGTGATAGAGAGCTCACCAGAGCCCAGCAAGAGTGCTCCTACTACCCCTGCCTCCGTGAGTAGACATGAAGCAATTTTTATTGTCCTTTTTCGCTAAAAACTTAACCTATTGATCAGTCTCTTTTCTTTACGCAGACATCACAAATAAATGCTGCCAGTACAACGAAGCGACGTTCCCTTAAGGTAAAATCCGGCATTTTACAACATTTAGAAACCCACAATTTTAATGTAATGTTAAGCTGGTCCTATATAAACAGCATGTGCCATTGATTTGAATTATTGAAACCTCTTTAGATCCAAAAATAAATGCAAAGAAACAAATAGCTTAGAGCTATTTTCAGTGTTTCCTCTAAACATTTTTCCAGCAGCGGTTCTGTTACGTGCCAGAGGTTATTGCGGGGTTCGGGGGCATGCACCTTTGGAATTTTTAAAAGTAATCCTTTAAAACATGACTTCTGGCAAGTTTTGATGATAGTTGAAATTGACATTGAGACATACAAATATGAAATACCATCAACTGATTCAAGGCGTGATTATTGCAGCACGTTTATTGAACTGGTCACAAATAGAAACCTTCATTTTGTAATTTTAGACAGGATTATTCATGGTTTTTCTTTTCTGTTAATTTATAATATAGGCCTATTGTTCACTCAATGTGTTGATGTTAGATAATGCATTAATGCATTGTATCTAATTGTAGTGTTACCAAACAAAACAGGAGATAAAATGTGTTTTATTTGACTTGACTGTACTTTTATTTAATCCAAAACTGTGTTCATATTTAATTTTAAAAGGGCTTTTTAAACCTGCAAAGAGTTATGCAGCCAAGAATAAGCCTAGAACTGCTTTCTGACGGACTAATATTAATGACATAAAAAGGGATGTACCGATACTGATAACAGTACTCGGGTGTAGGTCCGATACTGTGCTCATGTAGGCTACTCATAAACTACCCCAATACATCCACACCCGAGTCCACTTTAGGGGCCGTTCAGATATCGTGTTTTTTTTTTTGTGCGCAAATTCGTTATTTCAATTGTAGGTACAATGATGCCATGGTGAGATGAAAACATCTCAGCAGGTCATGTGTCAAAAACCAACCAATCAGCTTTGGCCTTTCCGTAACGAAAGCTCTGCCGAACAGCTGATCATAGCTGTACAGGGCGGCATTTTATTTGTCATCTCCATAAATATATCTAATAGTAAAGCTAATGCAAGGGCTAGAAATCAATTTATGCTGTTGATACTTCCTTGTCCTTATGGAGAGCACAGTTCGTACTGCTGTCTCCTTTCCACAAGCTCTTGCTCTCCAGTGGCGTCAGTCGTTGCTATGCAAACATGAACAGAGGCACGCCTGGAAAAACGAGCGTGCCGCATCGCTTCTATAATGCGCTTGCCGTGCGCCTACATTTGAAATAACGAATTTGTATGCGCAAAAAAACGCTGTTAACGGCC